CCCCCCCCCCCCCCCCAGAACGTTTGTTCTCTGTCACCAGAACCCATGCTGCTGTAGAAAAGTTGATTGAGATATTTTCATTGTTGCTCTCACCGCTGTTGTTGATGGAATCGGGAAGGAACAAAATCAACATTGGAGAAAAATAGAAAGTGTGAACTGTGCGGTATAGAATTGTAAAATGTCTACAAAATAGGTAAAAAGACCCAACAACATGTTAGGAAGAAATCTACAAAGAGAGAGAGAGGAAGACGGAGTTGTCAGTGTCAGTCAGTCGCCAGACATCGCAGACAAATGAAACGTGACAATAAATCGTTTTAGTTTGCAATTATTTCACTCTGGAATTACAATTCTTAACGAGGAAAAAACCCTCAGAAATGATGTTTTCCAAAGCCTGCATTCTCATTTCATTCTTTATACATAACACACATGTAACAATTGGTCCATTTCAAATATCATATAATGTGTCAACAAAATATGTACTGGAGAAAAAGACTCCTATTGTATCATAGTTGTCTCGTGATGTACAAAAGCACAAGATACATCCAAAGAGGTTATAATAGTCAGAGGTCACAGATGTGACGTCACCCACGTAAACTCGCTTTGGCTGTGCGGGCTACTCAGCTCGCTTTGTCGCCATTTTGGAGAGGATTAGAAACAGCGCTGTCACGCTGTCACGCTGTCACGCTGTCACTGTCACGCTGTCACTGTCACGCTGTCACTGTCACGCTGTCACTGTCACGCTGCGCGTGCCTCGCAACGCCTTGGTCTTCATAGACTGAAGCTCAGTTCAGATGTTTTTTCTTCAGTTATCCTTTGGTTTGCTGTTGTTGTTTCATCATCTAACAAATGAACATACACGCATACACAATACGGCACGTGCTGACCCATTGTGGGTAACAACATTGCACTGAAATATGGGCTACCAATGAACAGAGAGATAGAGTAATATGAGATAACATGAGATAATATGAGATATTGTTTGTTTTTCCCGGGTGGGCTTAGAGAGAAGCGAAAAAGAAATCAACTTCAAAACTCTTCCCAGAGTAGCAATTAATGTTGCTGTGCACCGACTGGCCTTTTATTCCTCTCCGGAATGGCCGCGCGCCCCTCAAGTTTGACACTCGTGACGTCACAACTAAGACATCTACTTCTATAATTTATAACCTCTTTGGATGCAATTCAATAAATTTTTCATCATGCTGCAAAAGAGCAATGTACTGTGATAAATAGATGTGTTCATGGAAATAACATTAAAAGTAAACCTTTTCACACTCCACTTTGATTGGGCAGTGTTGAGTGGGATGTTCTGTTTGTAGAAGAGAGAGAAAATCGAAGTAAATGACGACACGCTACATGTGGGTGTAATGTACTTTGATTTAAATTTCAGTTTCAGTTGCAAAACTAGTGGGCCTATTATTACTATCAAATTACAAGAAACCCTCTCAAAATAGCCATATATATATATTTAGACATTTGAAGTAAGTGACATCTGAAATGATAGAAGTTTGTTCTATGTCAGAACTAGATTCTAAGTCAAATTTGACGAACGTGGAGATCGCAACACACTTCGACCCCTGGAAGCAAAAATGTGCCAGTGACAACATTTCCCAGATTAAGAAAATGTTAGACATTGTGGGTACTGATCGCCATGAAAAACGCAACTTAACCCCCCCCCCCCCCCCCCCCCCCCCCCAATATCAAGCTCTGAAATGGTGAAGCGGTGTAGGTTTAACGTCCCTATCAGCACGATTAGGACCTCCGGGTTTAACGTCCATCTCCGAAAGGACCGAGCCAAAAATGGGAAATTCGTGTAAAGTGTCTTTCCCACCGAGTTGAGACTCGAACCCATGAACCCACAACCTAACAATTAGATCTACGGGTCCGGTAGCCTAACCACAAGGCTAACGCCACCAAATGTATGCTCTGATCGCCACGATCTGTGAACATAGATACATGGGAGGAGGTAGAAGTTCGCACAATCAAGCACTATTTTGATTTCCAACAGTATTTATCCACACAGGTCGGGTGGTTGGACGGCGCCACTGGTAGGTCCTATTTCTTTACTTTCTCTCTGTTGTTTCTGTTAAGCTGTGTGGGCGGTTGGAGGGCGCCACTGGTAGTAGGTCCTACTTCTTTACTTTCCCCTCTGTTGTTTCTGTTTAGCTGTGTGGGTGGTTGGAGGGTGTCACTGGTAGGTCCTATTTCTTTACTTTCTCTCTATTGTTTTTGTTAAGCCGTGTGGGCGGTTGGAGGGCGCCACTGGTAGGTCCTACTTCTTTACTTTCCCCTCTGTTGTTTCTGTTTAGCTGTGTGGGTGGTTGGAGGGTGTCACTGGTAGGTCCTATTTCTTTACTTTCTCTCTGTTGTTTCTGTTAAGCTGTCTTACTTTCCCCCCCAGCACCAAATGACCATTATTGACATTTATTGTGTCGATGTGCTTGCTTCTCTTTACTCAAACAAACAAACAAACTCAACACAGAAAGCTACATTTTGATAAAGTAGGCTATGTGTTCACGGGATGCAACTTTACTCGTGAAGTTCACGGGATGCAACTTTACTCGTGAAGTTCACGGGATGCAACTTTACTCGTGAAAATTATTTTTTTTCACTTGTAAGATTAAGATGACAAGTAATAGAATCGGACTCTTCCCGAATAAAAGTCCAGACTTTTTTTTAGTCGAGATTTTCTCACAGCAATGGTGATGGACTTGAGAACGAGTGAATAATGATCTATATTTAATTTTCCTGGGTCGTCTTTCTTCTCAAGGATAAAAATACAACAGTAGAATTCAATATATTGTATCTAGGGCTAATCGTCATCATCGTCATCATCATCATCATCATCAAGTGCCAGATTTGTGACAGACAT